TGTGACTGAATAGTAGACAAAGCTTTTTCTTTTTTTTCCCCTTCCATTGCTGCTCCTTTAGCAATACTACAGGGGGAGGGTGACAGTAGAAAGAATAAACTTCAGTAGGCTCTTAAAAAGGCTGTACTGTCTCTTCTCACAAGCCTTGTTTATGCTACCTCACCTTTTGCAGCGGTCATGTAGCAGCAACATTTCTCTGAGAAACTGATGCATCTGCTTACTTTACATTGTCTGGACACGTAACCTCTATCTCCCTTTAAGAGACTATCCATACAGGCAACCCTGCTTCACGTGGTTTCGGTTAGCACTATTTTGCTATAGTGTCCATTTAGCATTGATGCCCGATTTCACTGAGCGCTCAGCCAGTTCTGCTATAGCGTGAAGTGGAATCAGCCAGTTTTGGCGGGCAGGCGGGTGGGAAAAAGCAGCAGTGGTGGTGGCAGCAGGTTGGGGGGGCAGGTGTGAGCATGGAGGGTAGGGAGAAGCAGCGGTGGTGGCGAGGAGTGCAGGGCCCATGATATTGCCTGGTGTATGGGCCGGCGGGGCCTTGCACCCAGGGTGCGGTGGCAGGAGCGCCCAGGCTGGCACATGGGGCTGGAGCGGCTGGTGGGCAGAGGCAGTGGCAGTGAGAAGCAGCGAGCGGGGGAGCAAGCATGAGCATGGGACTGGTGCCTGGGGCCAGGACAGGGCGGCAGGAGCACAGGTCCAGGCTGGCACATGGGGCTGGAGAGGTGGTAGTGGTGAGAAGCGGTGGTAACCAATTATCTCCATTTCCATTCATTCCTATGGGGAAATGGATTTCGCTTAGCACGGTGCAGCTTACCGCTCTGTTTTTCTGGAACCAATTGAGAGGGCTAAGCGGAGGTTGCCTGTATTAAGGTTTTGTTTTTGTTTTTTCTATAGCTGATATGGGTTCAGAGACTGACAGAATGACTTGAGTGGTGCAAACCCAATAGTAGCACTAAGGTCAACTTAAGCGAAAGCAGATAAAATATGTCCAGAAACAACCTAAACAGTGATTTTCATCTAATATACTCAAAACCCTTTTTTTTTTTTTTTTTTTTAAATGACTCTTTAAGGCCTGACTCAAAGTCCACTGAAGACTTTACTAAAGCTTCTTACTTTTACAGAAATAATCCTAGGATTGCTACCTCCAGACCTTGTATTTTGCTACTGAGAAAAAGCAGAACACTGCCATCCTAAACCTAAATGATCTTCTTTCCTTTTATTTTGTAATAGAAAGATAGCAGTAGTAGCCCCCTGTACCACTACCCACTTGCAGATGAGAAGAGGCACAAGGCAAAGGCAGGCATAAAATAGCTATTTCTGTGAACTTGCTATTAGGGCTGTGCGAAGCTTCGGTGGCTGATTTGATTTGGAGCAGACTCAGCCCGATTCAGCAGCCGAATCTCTGAATCCAAATTGAATCGGGAGACCAATAAAAACGTCTGAATCAATTCAAAGCCTCTGAATTGATCCGGAGATTCGGGCAGTCCCCGCTCACTGCCACAGGGAGCTGGATGTGGACTCCGTGCTGGTAAGTAGGGGGCAGAGGGAACTATGGGGGTGACCCCCACCAGGCCCCATCCCCCCAGAGCACCCCTCAACCCCCACCCACTTTCCCAGCCCCGTCAATGACTGCCCTGCTCAGCCCCAGCATCCTGGCACTTTAAAAAAAAGCCCCGCACTTACCGGCTGCTGCAGTGGCCATCGGGGCCTCTGGGGGCTCATGGTAGAGCCCCCACCACGCAGAGTGGATGGCACCCCCTCCTCCCCCCGGCAGGAGCCAGTGAGTGTGCGGCTTTAAAAAAAAAAGGCCTTGCACTCACCAGCTGCTGCAGTGTCCAGTGGGGATTGCCCCCACCACCTGGCAGGAGCCAGTGAGTGCAGGGCTTTTTTGTTTGGGTTTTTTTTTTTTAAGCTCCAGGACTCTGGGGCTGGGTGGGGCAGCCATTGACAGCGCTGGGAGAATGGGTGGGGGGTGAGGCCTGTTTGATTCAGAGATTCAGCCAATTTGGCGGTGGCCAAATCTCCAAATCAGATTCGGCCAAATCGATTCGGGACAGCGACTCAAATCACTGACTCGAATTACTGCCCCCCAAAGCAGCCGAATCCGAATCGAATACTAGCCACTGTACACAGGCCTACTTGCAATATTTTAGCAAAAGTGTGAGGAGGTGGCTATGGGCTTATACATTATACACAGAACCTTGATTGTCATCTAATGCCCTTGTACATGAGATTTAAATTTAAATGGAGGGAGAAAATAGAATACGGTTTTCCTCAGCAGAGGATTTTCTTGTACATTGACAGCTCTATTTGATAGATTTCCTGTAGACAATAACGTAACTTAATCGTCTTAGGAAGAAAAATAGCAGAACAAGCTGTTCTATCCAAAGTGTGCCGAGAGTTACTGATATGACAATGTATAAGTCTGTAAGATTAAGTAGCTCATTTTAGACCGGTTCATTCAACAGGGATCGATTAGCTATACTGTCTAGGGATAGGGATTTTTATATCTATTTTGTAATAAAATTGGCACCTCACCTTTTGTCCCAGAAAATGTTTATCTCCCTTTGAAGTTCCTAATTGCGATTTCATGATCAGAATAAATCCTGCAGTCACATTT